CAGTCAGAGCTCCCTCAATCCACAGGGATGAGGGGACAGCTCAGGGAACCCTCAGAGCTCCCTCCATCCCCAGGGATGAGGGGACAGGCTCAGGGAACCCTCCATCCACAGGGATGAGGGGACAGCACAGGGAACCTTCAATCCACAGGGATGAGGGGACAGCTCAGGGCTCTCAATCTACAGGGATGAGGGGACAGCACAGGGAACCCTCCATCCACAGGGAAGTGTCATGATCCACCTTGTCACACCTGCCAGCTGACCTCGGGGTGAGGTTTTGGCCTCCCTAGGGTTTTCCTGTTTTTTTCCTGGCTGCCAGCGCTCTCCTGATCTCCTGAGCTTCCCCTTCTTCCCAGCTTGGATTTCCAGCCTTCCAAAGCTTCCTGTATTCACACACGAGGGATTACTGCAGGCTGCCCCCATCCCAAACACCTGCCTGGGGGTGCTGGGGCTGAGGCTCCCCAACCTTTTCCCTCTGGATGATCCAGATGTGGAGCGAGGGAATGAGGGGGGGACAAACCGAGGCTCTTCCCGGGAATAACGACCCCCCCAAAAGGCTCATCCCTGACGGATCAGGGGCTGCTGCTGAGAGAGATTTTCTCCTTCAGCTCCTCAACAGCAAGGTGGTGAACGACCTGCTGCTGCTGGAGACGGTGCTGGACGCGCTGACGGGGCGGCAGAAGGACTCCTGCCTCCTGGTGCGGGTGCTGGCGCTGCGGGGGCTCGGGAACGTCGCCTCGGGATCCCCGGAGAAGGTGGGAGCAGCTCCCCTGCTCTGGGGGGAAACTGGAGGGACAGGACACAGGGAATGGCTCGCTGAGGGCAGGGTTGGGTGGGATGGTGGGAAGGATTCTTCCCTGGGAGGGCGGGGAGGGACTAGAATGGGATTCCCAGAGGATTCTCCGTCCCCCCTGGAAGCGTCCCAGGCTGGGTTGGAGCGGACTGGGATAGCAGAAGGTGTCCCTGCAGGGGTGGGACTGGGTGATCCTGAAGGTTCCTTCAATCCAAACTGTTCCCCAAGTGCCACCTCCCCAGGGATGGCCAATAATCCCCCACCAGGGATGGGGATCCAGGGCTGGGCAGCCCCTTCCCAGGAGGGGTTTTCCCAAATATCCCAAATAAAGCTCCCCTGGCACAGCTTGGGGCTGTTCCCTTTATCCTGTCCCTGTTCCCCTGGGAGCAGAGCCCGATCCCAGCTGGATCCACCCTTGCATCCCCCTGGAATTGCCCTGGCTGAGCCCCCCCTGTCCCCCCAGGTCAGGAAGCACGGCCCCACCCTCCTGGCCTCCATGGTGGGGGGCATGGACGACAAGGACGACCCCCACAACCTGGTGGCCCTGGAGGCCATGTCCAGCCTGTCCAAGCTGCTGGATCACCTGGAGCAGAGGGACATCCAGTCCATGCTGCTGCACGTGGCCATCCGCATCCGCCCCTTCTTCGACAGCGTAAGGAGCGGCTTTGGGGGGTCCTGGGGGGTGTCTGGGTGCTCTGGGGGTGTCTGGGTGCTCCTGGGGGTGTCTGGGGGTGTCTGGGTGCTCCTGGGGGGTGTCTGGGGGTGTCTGGGGGGGTGTCTGGGTGCTCCTGGGGGTGTCTGGGGTGCTCCTGGGGGGTGTCTGGGGGCTCATAGGGGTGTCTGGGTGCTCTGGGGGTGTCTGGGGCTCCAGGGGGTGTCTGGGGGTGTCTGGGTGCTCCTGGGGGTGTCTGGGGTGCTCCAGGGGATCTCTGGGTGCTCCTGGGGGTATCTGGGTGCTCCAGGGGATGTCTGGGTGCTCCAGGGGGTGTCTAGGTGCTCCAGGGGTGTCTGGGGGCTCCAGGGGGTGTCTGGGTGCTCCTGGGGATGTCTGGGTGCTCCAGGGGGTGTCTGGGTGCTCCAGGGGTGTCTGGGTGCTCCAGGGGATGTCTGGGTGCTCCAGGGGGTGTCTGGGTGCTCCTGGGGTGTCTGGGTGCTCTAGGGGTGTCTGGGTGCTCCTGGGGTGTCTGGGGGTGTCTGGGTGCTCCTGGGGTGTCTAGGTGCTCTAGGGGGTGTCTGGGTGCTCCAGGGGATGTCTGGGTGCTCCTGGGGGATGTCTGGGTGCTCTGTGGGCTATCTGGGTGCTCCAGGGGGTATCTGGGTGCCCAGGGGGTGTCTGGGTGCTCCTGGGGGTGTCTGGGTGCTCCTGGGGTATCTCGGTGCTCTGGGGGTGTCTGGGTGCTCCAGGGGGTGTCTGGGTGCTCCGGGGGTGTCTGGGTGCTCCTGGGGATGTCTGGGTGCTCTGGGGGTGTCTGGGTGCTCCAGGGGGTGTCTGGGTGCTCCAGGGGGTGTCTGGGTGCTCCAGGGGGTGTCTGGGTGCTCTGGGGGGTGTCTGGAGGCTCCAGGGGGTGTCTGGGTGCTCCAGGGAGTATCTGGGTGCTCCTGGGGGTATCTGGGTGCTCTGGGGATCTCTGGGTGCTCCTGGGGGGTGTCTGGGGGCTCCAGGGAGTATCTGGGTGCTCCTGGGGGTGTCTGGGTGCTCCTGGGGGTGTCTGGGTGCTCCTGGGGGTGTCTGGGTGCTCTGGGGTGTCTGGGGGTGTCTGGGTGCTCTGGGGGTGTCTGGGGGGTGTCTGGGTGCTCTGGGAGGTGTCTGGGGGGTGTCTGGGTGCTCCTGGGGGTGTCTGGGTGCTCTAAGGGTGTCTGGGTGCTCCTGGGGGGTGTCTGGGTGCTCCTGGGGGGTGTCTGGGTGCTCCTGGGAGGTGTCTGGGGGGTGTCTGGGTGCTCCAGGGGAGTATCTGGGTGCTCCAGGTGGGTGTCTGGGTGCTCCAGGGGGGTTCCTGGCATCTCCAGGACACGTCTGGAACCAGGGATGGAGGTTGGGGCACCGTCCTGGTGGGGAAGGGGGGGTTTTCCCTGCCTTTGGAAGGTTCTGTCCAACAACCCTAAACCCCCCTCCAGCATTCCTGGTGCTTTCCCTGCTCAGCCTGAGCCTCATCCATCACTCCCAGTGCTGAGCTGTTGGTCCCACTGGGATCTTCCCACTGGGATTGGGCCCCCCCTTTGGCTGCTCCCCACGCTCTGCCTTCGGGGGTCTCGTCCCTGCTGCTCCTCTGACCAGGGTAGAGCCACAGCCAGGGGTTTTCCAGCTCCCCCCACTGTTGTTCTGCCCCCCAAAAAAAGGGCCCAAAGGACCCCCATCCCTGAATTTCGTCCCCCTCTCGTGCTCCCTGTCACCCCTGGAGCAACGAGCAGCTGAAATTTGGGATGAAGAGACAAGGGGGGGGCTGTGATTTGGGGAGTGATGGGGTGGGAGGGAGGGGATTTATCCCCCAGCAGAGCCTGTTCTCAGCCCTGCAGGGGGAGAGGGGATGTGTGTGGGGGGGTCTGTTTTCTGGTGAAGAATTGTCAAAAGCAGGTTTCAAACCCAAAATAAGAGGTGGGAGTTGAGGCGCCCGAGGGCCGGGGTGGGCTGGGGAGGGGTGCCAAGGGTGGGGCAGGGGGGCTGAAGGTTCAAGGCAGGCTGGGGAAGGGGTGCCAAGGGTGGGGCAGGGGGGGCTGAAGGTTCAAGGCAGGGTGGGGAGGGGGTACCAGGGGTGGGGCAGGGGGGCTGAAGGTTCAAGGCAGGAGTGGGGAGGGGGTGCTGGGGACTCAGGAGAGGGGTGCCGAGAACCAGGACAGGTTGGGGAGGGGGTGCTTGAGGGCTTGGGGCAGGGTGGGGAGGGGGGTGCCAAGAACCAGGACAGGTTGGGGAGGGGGTCTTGAGGCTTGGGGCAGGGTGGGGAGGGGGTGCCAAGGACTGGGGCAGGCTGGGGAAGGGGTGCTGAGGACCCCAGGAGGGGGTGCTGAGGACCAGGGCAGGGTGGGGAAGGGGTGCTGAGGACCCAGGGCAGGATGGGGAGGAGGTGCCAAGGACTGGGGGCAGGATGGGGAGGGGGTGCTGGGGACCCGGGAGGGGGTGCTGAGGTCCTGAGGAGGGGGTGCCAAGAGCCAGGACAGGCTGGGGAAGGGGTGCTGAGGGTTCAGGGCAGGGTGGGGAGGGGGTGCTGAGAACCAGGACAGGTTGGGGAGGGGTCTTGAGGTTTGGGGCAGGGTGGGGAGGGGGTGCTGAGGACCCGGGAGGGGGTACCAAGGACCAGGGCAGGCTGGGGAAGGGGTGCCAAGGACTGGGGCAGGGTGGGGAGGGGTGCTGAGGACCAGGTCAGGATGGGGTGCTGAGAACCAGGGCAGGCTGGGGAGGGGGTGCTGAGGACCCAGGGAGGGGGTGCTGAGGACCAGGGCAGGCTGGGGAGGGGGTGCTGAGGACCCAGGGAGGGGGTGCTGAGGACCAGGGCAGGCTGGGGAGGGGGTGCTGAGGACTCAGGGAGGGGGTGCCAAGGACTGGGGCAGGCTGGGGAGGGGGTGCTGAGGACTCAGGGAGGGGGTGCCAAGGACCAGGGCAGGCTGGGGAGGGGGTGCTGAGGTCCTGAGGAGGGGGTGCTGAGGCCCAGTCCCGATTAGGGGGATGCTGAGCCCAAGGCAGTGCCCTCGTGCTGCCCTGTTCCCCTGCAGCCAGAACAGCGGGGCAGGGGGCAGGGGTGGGAGCAGGGGGTGGGGGCAGTTGGACATCCCCATGCCATGCCCACGCCATGCCCCCCTCCCCAGGATGCCCAAAAAAAAGGCAGATAAAAAAACTGCTTAAAGGCAGAATTTTGAGCCCATAAACAGCAGGGATTTATTGAATTAACGATGCCGGGGCAGCTTCCAGCTCAGGCTGGACAAAAAGCTCCGAAGTGGTTCAGTAAAAACAAGCAATTTATACATTTCCAATCATGATTACAACATAATCACATGCATATTCATATTATTGCATCATTAGATTACAATATTCATAGCAGGTGGAGTCGGGGTGGAGATTGAGGCGTGGTCTCTGTTTTGAGGAATATTTTGGTGGGAGTTCCTGGGCTCTGCATTTTCCTCCTCATCTCCCTCGGGTGACATCCGTGATCCTTTTGTTCTATCCATTGTTCTGTGTCCTGATCATCCAGGTTTGAAGAGACCTTTGGCTCTAGGCCTGCTTTACCTATTCCAATGTCTGCCTTGGCTCCTCTGGATGAGATTGATTTGTGTTGAGTTCTTTGCCTGGTGTTTGTTGTGGTTCCTTTAAGGTCTGATGCTCTTAATACAGAATTAATTAATAATTAATGGCCACTCTTCACAGCCTTCCTCCAACAGTCCAGCTTACAGTGAACAAAACACAGGGGGTAAGGGGGGCTCTCGTGGGCTCACAGTGAAAGTGTTAACTAAACATTAACCCTTCCCGTTCCCCCCAGGAGCAGCCCGAGCTGCGCCGCTCGTCCATCGCGCTCTTCGGGAGCCTCTCGCGCTTCGGGGGCTCCGAGGGCGAAGCGTTCCTGGAGCAGGTGCTCAACGGGCTGGTCACGCTGCTGCTGCACCTGCAGGACCCCCAGCCCGACGTGGTCAAGGTGGGAGACCCCCCCTCTCCCCTCTCCCCTCACCCACGGGGAGGTGCCAGCCCGGTGCCCACTCAGAGGGGTCCCAGTTTGGTGCCAGCCCCGGTGCCCACTCAGAGGGGTCCCAGGGAGGTGCCCACACAGAGGGGTCCCAGTTTGGTGCCCACACAGAGGGGTCCCAGTTTGGTGCCAGCCCCGGTGCCCACTCAGAGGGGTCCCAGTTTGGTGCCCACTCAGAGGGGTCCCAGTTTGGTGCCCACACAGAGGGGTCCCAGGGAGGTGCCCAGGGAGGTGCCCAGGGAGGTCCCAGGGAGGTGCCCACTCAGAGGGGTCCCAGTTTGGTGCCAGTCCCGCTGCCCACTCAGAGGGGTCCCAGGGAGGTGCCCACACAGAGGGGTCCCAGTTTGGTGCCCACACAGAGGGGTCCCAGTTTGGTGCCAGCCCCGGTGCCCACACAGAGGGGTCCCAGTTTGGTGCCCACTCAGAGGGGTCCCAGTTTGGTGCCAGTCCTGCTGCCCACCAGAGGGTCCCAGGGAGGTGCCCACACAGAGGGGTCCCAGTTTGGTGCCCACACAGAGGGGTCCCAGTTTGGTGCCCACTCAGAGGGGTCCCAGTTTGGTGCCCACACAGAGGGGTCCCAGTTTGGTGCCCACACAGAGGGGTCCCAGTTTGGTGCCAGCCCCGCTGCCCACACAGAGGGGTCCCAGTTTGGTGCCCACACAGAGGGGTCCCAGTTTGGTGCCAGCCCCCAGGAGGTGCCCAAACAGAGGGGTCCCAGTTTGGTGCCCACACAGAGGGGTCCCAGTTTGGTGCCCACACAGAGGGGTCCCAGGGAGGTGCCCACACAGAGGGGTCCCAGTTTGGTGCCAGCCCCGGTGCCCACACAGAGGGGTCCCAGTTTGGTGCCAACCCCGGTGCCCACCACAAACCCCCCCTATCCCTCCCCCAGGCCTGCAAGTTCGCCCTGCGGCTGTGCGGGCCCAGCATGGGCTGCGAGGGGCTGCGGGACATGTTCCTGAACCACCTGCACCACGACAGGGGGCTGCACTTCGGGGAGTTCATCAACAACGTCTGCAAGCACCTGGGTGAGGGGGGCGGGGGGCACGGGGGCACCGTGGGGCTGTGGGGACGGGGACACCGTGGGGCTGGGGGGACGGGGACACCGTGGGGCTGTGGGGACGGGGACAGGGCCAGTGTGGGGACAGGGACAGGGCCAGCGTGGGGCGACAGGGACAGGGACAGGGTCACTGTGGGGACAGGGATGGGGCCAGCTGCTGGGGACTGGGCATGGGACAGGGGACAGGGCCACTGTGGGGACTGTGGGGACAGGGATAGGGGTCACTGTGGGGACAGGGCTGGGGCTGTATGGATGGGACAGGGCTGTGGGGTGACTGTGGGGAAGGTGATGGTGCCACTGTGGGGGACTGTGGGGACAGCGATGTGGGTCACTGTGGGGACGGGGCTGGGGCTGTATGGGTGGGACAGGGCTGTGGGGTGACTGTGGGGAAGGTGATGGTGCCACTGTGGGGACTGTGGGGACAGGGATGGGGTCACTGTGGGGACGGGGCTGGGGCTGTATGGGTGGGGCCAGGGCTGTGGGGTGACTGTGGGGAAGGTGACAGTGCCACTGTGGGGACTGTGGGGACAGGGATGGGGCTGCTGTGGGACTGTGGGGACAGGGCTGGGGCTGTATGGATGGGGACAGGGCTGTGGGGTGACTGTGGGGAAGGTGATGGTGCCACTGTGGGGGACTGTGGGGACAGGGATGGGGTCACTGTGGGGGCTGCCCTGCATTCCTTCCGTGTCCCGTGGATCCTCCGTGTCCCTCCTGTCCTCCCTGTCCTGTGGGTCTCGTGTGTCCCTCCCTGTCCCCCCTGTCCTGTGGGCCTCGTGTGTCCCTCCGTGTCCCTCCTGTCCTCCCCATCCTGTGGGTCTCGTGTGTCCCTCCCTGTCCCTCCCCATCCTGTGGGTCTCGTGTGTCCCTCCCTGTCCCTCCTTGTCCACCCTGTCCTGTGGGTCTCGTGTGTCCCTCCCTGTCCCTCCTGTCCCCCCTGTCCTGTGGGTCTCGTGTGTCCTGTCCCTCCTTGTCCTGTGGGCCTCATGTGTCCCTCCCTGTCCTTCCCTGTCCCTCCCCATCCTGTGGATCTCCTGTGTCCATCCCTTTCCCTCCCCATCCTCTGGGTCTCGTGTGTCCCTCCTTGTCCTGTGGGTCTCGTGTGTCTCGAGTGTCCCCCACACCCTGAGTGCCCTGCGTGTCCCCCCCATGTCCCCTGTCCCCACTGAGCCCTGTGTCCCCCCCATGTCCCCTCCGTGTCTCCCCGTGTCCCCTGTCCCCACTGAGCCCCATGTCCCCCGTGTCCCCCATGTCCCCCTGTGTCCCCCCCGTGTCCCCCGTCCCCACTGAGCCCCGTGTCCCCCATGTCCCCCCCTGTCCCCATGTCCCGCTGACCCCGTGTCCCCCCTGTGTCCCCCACGTGTCCCCCGTCCCCACTGAGCCCCATGTCCCCCATGTCCCCCCTGTGTCCCCTCATGTCCCCTGTCCCCACTGGCTGTGTCCCCCCGTGTCCCCCCGTGTCCCTGTCCCCACTGAGCCCCGTGTCCCCCTGGTGTCCTCCCCATGTCCCCTATCCCACTGAGGCCCCGTGTCCCACTGAGCCCCGTGTCCCCCATGTGCCCCCCGTGTCCCCTGTCCCCCTGGGCTGTGCACCCCATGTCCCCTGTCCTCCTGGGCCCGTGTCCCCCCCGTGTCCCCCATGTCCCCCGTGTCCCCCCTGTGTCCCATATCCCGTGTCCCGCTGTCCTCCACTGGGCCCGTGTCCCCTTTGGCCCCCACGTCCCCATGTCCCCCAGGCCTTCCCCGCGGTGCCCCGCAGTGCAGAGGAGGCTACCCGAGGATGCTGAACCGCCTCATCTCCACCAACCTCTTCTACTTCAAGAGCCCCTGGGGGGACATTCGGGCGGCCGCCCCCATGTTCATCGGTGAGGTCCCCGTGTCCCCTGTCCTGGGGGGGGGTCCTGGGGGGTCCCTGCTCCGCTGGGGGGGTCCCTGGGAGCAGCCAGGGGCACCCAGCGTGCCCTGCCCCGAGCTGTGCCACCCTGGGGACAGGGACACCCCTGGGGTGTCCCCAAGTGGTGCCACCACCGCCCCAACGGGCACACACTGGTCCAAGGGTGGGGTTTGGGGTATTTTGGGGGGGTTTGGGGGCTCCCCAGACCTCGCTCTTGTCCCCAGGTGGTCCCTGGTGCTGTCCCCGCTTGGGTCACCAAGCCACCTCCCCTTGGGGTCACCCCACGGTGGCCTTTGTCACCAGGGGGTGACACTGGTCCTGAGGGTCCCCAAGGGGGTTTGGGGGGATTTTGGTTGGTTTAGGGTGAGGGGTCGAGTGTGTTTTGGGTAGTTTTGGGGTGTTTTGGGTAGTTTTGGGGTATTTTGGGTGGTTTGGGGGTCGATTTGGGGGTTTGGGGTATTTTGGGTGGTTTGGGAGTAGATTTGGGGGTTTTGGGGTATTCTAGGCTGGTTTTGGGGTAGATTTGGGGGTTTTGGGGTATTTTGGGTAGTTTTGGGGTATTTTGGGTACAGTTTTGAGGTTATTCTAGGCTGGATTTGGGGGTAGATTTGGGGTTTAGGGTATTTTGGGTGGTTTGGGGTATTTTGGGTAGTTTTGGGGGTATTCTGGGGGGTTTTGGGGTAATTTTGGGTAGTTTTGGGGTATTTTGGGTGGTTTTGGGGTAGATTTGGGGGGTTTGAGGTATTTTGGGTAGTTTTGGGGTATTTTGGGTGGTTTTGGGGTAGATTTGAGGGTTTTGGGGTATTTTGGGTAGTTTTGGGGTAGATTTGGGGGTTTTGGGGTATTTTGGGTAATTTTGGGGTATTCTGGGTGGTTTTGGGGTATTCTGGCTGGTTTTGGGGTAGATTTGAGGGTTTTGGGGTATTTTGGGTAGTTTTGGAGGCATTTTGGGTTGGTTTTGGGGTAGATTTTGGGGTTTTAGGGCTATTTTGGGTAGTTTTGGGGTATTTTCGGGTGGTTTGGGGTAATTTGGGGTAGTTTTGGGGTATTTTGGGTGGTTTTGGGGTATTTGGGGTAGTTTTGGGGTATTCTGGGTGGTTTTGGGGTAGATTTGGGGGTTTTGGGGTATTTTGGGTGGTTTTGGGGTAGATTTGGGGGTTTTGGGGTATTTTGGGTGGTTTTGGGGTATTTTGGTTAGTTTTGGGGTAGTTTTGGCTGGTTTTGGGGTAGATTTGGGGGTTTTGGGGTATTTTGGGTGGTTTTGGGGTATTTTGGTTGGTTTTGGGTGGCATTTGGGAGTTTTGGGGTATTTTGGGTAGTTTTGGGGGTATTTTGGTTGGTTTTGGGGTATTTTAGGTAGTTTAGGGTATTTTGGCTGGTTTGGGGGTGATATTTGGGGGTTTTTAGGGTATTCTGGGTGGTTTTAGGGTATTTGGGTGTTTTGGGGTATTTTGGGTGGTTTTGGGTAGATTTGGGGGTTTGGGGTATTTTGGGTAGTTTGGGGGTATTTTGGGTATTTTGGGGTATGGTTTTGGGTGATTTTGGGTAGTTTGGGGGTATTTTGGGTAGTTTTGGGGTATTTTGGGTAGTTTTGGGGTGATTTTGGTGGTTTTGGAGTATTTGGGTGAGTTTTGGGGTATTTTGGGTGTTTGGGGTATTTTGGGTGGTTTTGGGAGTAGATTTGGGGGTTTTGGGGTATTTTGGGTAGTTTTGGGGTATTTTGGGTGGTTTTGGGGTATTCTGGGTGGTTTTGGGGTAGATTTGGGGGTTTTGGGGTATTTTGGGTAGTTTTGGGGTATTCTGGCTGGTTTTGGGGTAGATTTGGGGGTTTTGGGGTCCCTCTAACCCCATTTCTATCCCCAGCCCGGCCCTGGTCCCATCCCCTCCTTGGGTTCCCGGTGCCAGGGGAGGCTCAGCTTGGATCTTGGGAAGCATCCCTGTGGATGTGGCGCTGTGGGGACACGGGCAGGGGTGGCCCGGGCAGTGCTGGGGCCGTGGGTGGGCTCAGGGGTGGCTTTTCCAACCTCCTGGTGCCCCGAGGTGGGCTGGGGACCAATCCCTGCCTCTGGAATTCTCCCCCAGGCTTCCTGGTGCTGCACGTGGAGGAGGAGCACTGCCAGCAGGTGGACCTGGACCAGCTCATTTCGGGTGAGTGGGGGCTGGGAATGCCTCTTTCCCCCTGGATCCAGAGCTCAGAACCCCCCCCAGAGTGGGGGTCCCCAGCTGTGCCCGAGGCTCCCCCCAGGGACCACCAGCTCAGGGATTTGGGGCACCCCAGAGGGATGAGGCTCTGGGGAGGGTGGGGGGTGATCCCCCTGCCCCTGGGTGTGCTGGGGGACAACTGGGAGTGTCCCCAACCCCTGGAGAGCCCCTGGAGCCGGAATCCATGGCTGGGATGAGCCTGGAACCCGCTGGGAGGAGATTTGGGGGAGGGTCTGGGTTCAGGGGGGGTCCAGTGTGGGGACACCGAGATGCTGTTTGGGGTCTGGCTCACCCAGGGGGGGTCCCTGGGGGGAGATCCCGGGAGAGCCCCCAATCCCTGGTAGGAATCCATGGAAGGGGGGGGGCTCAGGGGGTCTCTCCCGAGGGGCTGCTCCATCCCCAGACCACAATTCCCTCCCCCACCCTCCCAGCCCCGGTGGCATTTCGGGAGCGGAGTTAAGTGATTTTCCTGGATTTCAGGGATTTTTTCCCCCCCTGTCACCGGTGACCTCATAGTCTCTGGTAAAAGGCACGGAAACTTTCCGAGCCTTCCAAAAGGAGCTTAGGGAAAAAAACCCAAAACCACGCTAAAAAAGGAAAAGCTCCTCTTTCCATCGGCTCTCCCGGGGTCCCTTCCAGCAGAAGAGGGGGAGCTGGTCGAGCGCTGGGGGGAGAGGGAACTGCCCCGGGCTGGGGTCGGGACCTGCCCCCGGTGGGGTTGGGATCTGCCCCGGGATAGGGTCGGGATCTGCCCCGGGGTGGGGTCGGGATTTGCCCCGGGATGGGGTCGGGACCTGCCCCAGGATAGGGTTGGGTCGGGATCTGGCCCGGGATGGGGTCGGGATCTGCCCCGGGATGGGGTCGGGATCTGCCCCCAGTGGGGTCGGGACCTGCTCCCAGTGGGGTTGGTGGGACCTGCCCCGGGATGGGGTCGGGATTTGCCCCGGGATGGGGTCGGGACCTGCCCCGGGTGGGTTTGGGACCTGCCCCGGGATGGGGTCGGGATTTGCCCCGGGGTGGGGTCGGGACCTGCCCCGGGTGGGGTCGGGATTTGCCCCGGGATGGGGTCGGGATTTGCCCCGGGATGGGATTGGGACCTGCCCCGAGATGGGGTCAGGACCTGCCCCGGGATGGGATTGGGACCTGCCCCGGGATGGGGTCGGGACCTGCCCCGGGATGGGATTGGGACCTGCCCCGGGATGGGGTCGGGACCTGCCCCGGGATGGGATTGGGACCTGCCCCGGGTGGTTTTGGGACCTGCCCCGGGATGGGGTCGGGATTTGCCCCGGGATGGGATTGGGACCTGCCCCGGGGTGGGAGCTTGGGTTGAGGACCTGCCCTGGGCTGGGTCGGGACCTGCCCCGGGATGGGTCGGGATTTGCCCCAGGATGGGGTCGGGATTTGCCCCAGGATGGGAGTCAGGACGTGCCCGGATGGGTCTGGGACCTGCCCCGGGATGGGGTCGGGACGTGCCCCGGGCTTGGATTGGGATCCGTGGAGGATCCAGAGGGAACAGGGAGGGGGGGATTGGCAGTGCCAGGTAAACAAACTCCTGGAAAAAGGGCAGGAAAAAGCGCCCGGGGTTGTTGTGGCGCTCCCGGGAGCCGCTCCAGGCGCTGGGATGGGGAGGGGGGGGCCGGGAAAGGGCCGGGGGCTCCAAACCCGGCCCAGACCTCCAGGGCAGCGTGGGGAGTCCCCAGTGCCTCCCAGTGCCTTCCAGTGCCCCCCAGTGCCTCCCAGTGCCTCCCAGTGCCCCCCAGTGCCTCCCAGTGCCCCCAGTGCCCCCCATCCCGGGGCTCAGGGCCAGGAGCCTCCCCAGCACCGTCCTGGGGGGTGTTTTGTTCTCCCCCAAAACAGGAGGATATCTGGGTTATTCCCAAGGATTCTGTGCCTGTGGCAGGGAAGGCACCGGGGAGGGAAGGGGGGGGTTAAACCTCAGTTCCTTCCCCTCTTTTTGGGGACAAAAAAAGTACTTTGGGGGGGGACACACTTTGCCCCAAAAGGCCACGGTAAAATGGAATGCACAGGGTGGTCCTGGGTAAATTAAAATGAGAAGTAAATGCAGAGCGGTCCTGAGTAAGTTCAAACTAAAAGTGAAGGCACGGGATGGTCCTGAGTAAATTTAAATTAAAATAAAAGGCAGAGGATGGTCCTGAGTAAATTTAAATTAAAAGGCACAGGATGGTCCTGAGTAAATCTAAATTAAAGGCACAGGATGGTCCTGAGTAAATCTAAATGAAAATAAAAGGCGCGGGATGGTCCTGAGTAAATCTAAATTAGAAGGAAAGGCACAGGATGGTCCTGAGCAAATCTAAATTAAAATAAAAGGCACAGGATGGTCCTGAGTAAATTTAAATTCAAATTAAATACACAGGGTGATCTTGAGTAAGTTTAAATTCAAATTAAATGCACAGGATGATCCTGAGTAAGTTTAAATTCAAGTTAAAGGCACAGGATGATCCTGAGTAAGTTTAAATTCAAATTAAAGGCACAGGGTGGTTTAAAGGTAATTTTAAAATTTAAATTTCAATTAAATGGAGAGGATGGTCCTGAGTAAGTTTAAATTCAAATTAAATGCACAGGATGATCCTGAGTAAGTTTAAATTCAAATTAAAGGCACAGGATGATCCTGAGTAACTTTAAATTCAATTTAAAGGCACAGGGTGGTCCCGAGTAAGTTTAAACTAAAATTAAAGGCACAGGGTGGTTTAAAGGTAATTTTAAAATTTAAATTTCAATTAAATGGAGAGGATGGTCCTGAGTAAGTTTAAATTCAATGTAAATGCACAGGATGATCCTGAGTAAGTTTAAATTCAAATTAAAGGCACAGGATGATCCTGAGTAACTTTAAATTCAATTTAAATGTACAGGATGATCTTGAGTAAGTTTAAATTCAAATTAAAGGCACCAGAGGGTCCCAACTAAATTTAAAGGTAATTTTAAAATTTAAATTTCGATTAAATGCAGAGGAGGGTCCCGGGCACAGCATCAGGAACCTGTTTTCCCTGGGCTGGGCTGGGCTGGGGCTGGCACAGGTGGGTCCCACACCCCTGGGATGCTGAGGTGTCCCTGGGAGGGGGTCCCAGCCCTGCCCCCCCCCCCAGCGTGTCCCTCTGTGCCCCCCCAGCCCTGAAGCTGCTGCTCAAGGACCCCGTTCCTGCCGTGAGAATCAAGGTGGCCGAGACCCTGGGCAGGCTGGTGCGGATCCTGTGAGCCCTGTGGAGCCCTGGATCTGATCCTGGGAGCCCTGGAGAGCCCCTGAGTCTGATCCTGAGAGCCCCTGGATCCGATCCTGAGACCCCTGGAGAGCCCCTGCGTCCTGGGAGCCCTGGAGAGTCCTGGATCCAACCCTGAGAGCCCCTGGATCTGATCCTGAGAGCCCTGGAGAGCCCTGGATCCGATCCTGAGAGCCCCTGGATCCAATCCTGAGAGCCCTGGGAGCCCTGGATCCGATCCTGAGAGCCCTGTGGAGCCCCTGGATCCTGGGAGCCCTGGAGACTCCTGGATCCAACCCTGAGAGCCCCTGGAGACTCCTGAATCCAATCCTGGGAGCCCTGGAGAGCCCTGGATCCAACCCTGAGAGCCCCTGGATCCAATCCTGAGAGCCCTGGAGAGCCCTGGATCCTGAGAGCCCTGGAGAGCTCCTGGATCCAACCCTGAGAGCCCCTGGATCTGATCCTGAGAGCCCTGAGTCCGATCCTGAGAGCCCTGGATCTGATCCTGAGACCCCTGGAGAGCCCTGGATCCGATCCTGAGACCTCTGGAGAGCCCTGGGTCTGATCCTGACACCTCTGGAGAGCCCTGGGTCTGATCCTGAGAGCCCTGGATCTGATCCTGACACCCCTGGGGAGTCTTGGATCCAGTCCTGAGAGCCCCATGATCTGATCCTGAGAGCCCTGGATCCAATCCTGAGAGCCCCTGGAGAGCCCTGGATCCGATCCTGAGAGCCCTGGATCCGATCCTGTGAGCCCTGCAGAGCCCCTGGATCCTGGGAGCCCTGGGGAGCCCCTAGATCCTGGGACCTCCTGAATCCAATCCTGTGAGCCTTGGATGCAATCCTGGGAGCCCTGGAGACCCCTGGATCCCATCCTGTGAGCCCTGGATCTGATCCTGTGAGCCCTGGAGACTCCTGGATCTGATCCTGGGACCTCCTGGGTCTGATCCTGGGACCTCCTGGTCCAGAGACCCCCCAGATCAGATCCTGTGAGCCCTGGAGATCCCCCAGGTCAGATCCTGGAGACCCCCCAGGTCAGATCCTGGAGACCCCCCAGGTCAGATCCTGGAGACCCCCCAGGTCAGATCCTGGAGACCCCCAGCCCTGGGGACCCCCCGGGTCAGATCCTGTGAGCCCTGGGGACCCCCCCCAGGTCAGATCCTGTGAGCTCTGGGGACCCCCCCAGGTCAGATCCTGGAGACCCCCAGCCCTGGAGACCCCCCAGGTCAGATCCTGGAGACCCCCAGGTCAGATCCTGTGAGCCCTGGGGAGCCCCCCAGGTCAGATCCTGGAGACCCCCAGCCCTGGAGACCCCCGGGTCAGATCCTGGAGACCCCCAACCCTGGGGACCCCCCGGGTCAGCTCCTGGAGACCCCCAGCCCTGGAGACCCCCAGGTCAGATCCAGTGAGCCCTGGAGACCCCCCCAGGTCAGATCCTGGAGATCCCCCAGCTCTGGGGACCCCCCAGGTCAGATCCAGTGAGCCCTGGGGACCCCCCAGGTCGGATCCTGAGAGACCCCCTGGGTCAGATCCTGTGAGCCCTGGGGACCCCCCAGGTCGGATCCTGAGAGACCCCCCAGCTTGGATCCTGTGAGCCCTGGGGACCCCCCAGGTCAGATCCAGTGAGCCCTGGGGACCCCCCATCTCCATCCACAGCAATACTGGGGGGGTCCCTCCCCACCACAGGACCCCCCCCCGGGCCCTTCCACGTCTTCCTGCGCTCCCTGCCCGGCTCCCTCGGCCCCCTCGGGGTGGGGGGCACGGGGTGGGGGGCACACGAGGGGCACAGCCCCTGTTTGGGGTCTCTGGGATGGGTGGGGAAGGGGCTGCACCTCGACCTGGAGCCCTGGGCTGGCCCCATCCTGGAACCCCCCCTGAGCAGGATGGATCCTGACCCCCCCTCCCTGCTGCTTCCAGCACCCCCCAATGCTGAACAGGGTCCTGCCCCCCCCGGGGGGGCTCTGGGATGGGGGGGAAAGGGGGTCCAGCTTGCCCTGGAGCCCTGGGCTGGCCCCATCCTGGGACCCCCCTGAGCAGGATGGATCCTGACCCCCCTCCTGCTGCTTCAAACCCCCTGCTGCTCCCCAGTGCTGAATGGGGGTCCTGTCTCCAGGACCCCCTCATGAATGTGGCTGTGTCCCCTCCCCATACACACTGTACATAAACTTATTTTTAAATAAAGCTTTTTCCTCCTCACACCTTCTGGGGGTGGCACCTGCTTGTCTGCAGGGGGGTTTGGGGACACTGGGCTGTGGGGGGTCTGGGGGGACACTGTGGCTGTGGGGGTCTGGGGGACACTGTGGCTGTGGGAGGTCTGGGGGGACATTGTGGCTGTGGGGGGATCTGGGGGACATTGTGGCTGTGGGGGGTCTGGGGGACACTGTGGCTGTGGGGGTCTGGGGACACTGTGGCTGTGGGGGGACACTGTGGTTGTGGGGGGGACACTGTGGCTGTGGGGGGACACTGTGGTTGTGGGGGACACTGTGGCTGTGGGGACACTGTGGCTGTGGGGGACACTGTGGCTGTGGGGGGTCTGGGGGGACACTGTGGCTGTGGGGGACACTGTGGCTGTGGGGGGACACTGTGGCTGTGGGGTCACTGTGGCTGTGGGGGGACACTGTGGCTGTGGGGGTCTGGGGGGACACTGTGGCTGTGGGGGACACTGTGGCTGTGGGGGTCACTGTGGCTGTGGGGGACACTGTGGCTGTGGGGGGTCTGGGGGACACTGTGGCTGGGGGCACTGTGGCTGGGGGGTTTGGGGACACTGTGGCTGTGGGGGACACTGTGGCTGTGGGGGCACTGTGGCTGTGGGGGGCACTGTGGCTGGGGGTTGGGACACTGTGGCTGTGGGGGTCTGGGGACACTGTGGCTGTGGGGACACTGTGGCTGTGGGGACACTGTGGCTGTGGGGGTCTGGGGGGACACTGTGGCTGTGGGGGTCTGGGGGACACTGTGGCTGTGGGGGACACTGTGGCTGTGGGGGACACTGTGTGTGGGGGTCTGGGGGGACACTGTGGCTGTGGGGGACACTGTGGCTGTGGGGGGTCTGGGGGGACACTGTGGCTGTGGGGGGGACACTGGCTGTGGGGAGTCTGGGGACACTGTGGCTGTGGGGTCTGAGTGGGACATTGGGCTGTGGGGGTCTGGGGGACACTTGGCTGTGGGGGTCTGGGGGACACTGTGGCTGTGGGGGGACACTGTGGCTGTGGGGGTCTGGGGGACACTGTGGCTGTGGGGGGTCTGGGGACACTGTGGCTGTGGGGGGACACTGTGGCTGTGGGGGTCTGGGGGACACTGTGGCTGTGGGGGGTCTGGGGACACTGTGGCTGTGGGGGGACACTGTGGCTGTGGGGTGGGGACACTGTGACTGTGGGGGACACTGTGGCTGTGGGGACACTGTGGCTGTGGGGGTCACTGTGGCTGTGGGGGGTCTGGGGGCACTGTGGCTGTGGGGGACACTGTGGCTGTGGGGGTCTGGGGGACACTGTGGCTGTGGGGGTCTGGGGACACTGTGGCTGTGGGGGTGCTGTGGGGGTCTGGGGGACACTGTGGCTGTGGGGGTCTGGGGACACTGTGGCTGTGGGGGTCACTGTGGCTGTGGGGGGTCTGGGGGACACTGTGGCTGTGGGGGACACTGTGGCTGTGGGGGGGTCTGGGGGACACTGTGGCTGTGGGGGTCACTGTGTGTGGGGCACTGTGGCTGTGGGGGACACTGTGGCTGTGGGGGGACATCAGGCTGTGGGGGTCTGGGACACTGTGGCTGTGGGGGGTCACTGTGGCTGTGGGGTCTGGGACACTGTGGCTGTGGGGGGGACACTGTGGCTGTGGGGGTCTGGGACACTGTGGCTGTGGGGGACACTGTGGCTGTGGGGGTCTGGGGGACACTGTGGCTGTGGGGGGTCTGGGGGACATTGTGGCTGTGGGGGTCTGGGGGGACACTGTGGCTGTGGGGGTCTGGGGACACTGTGGCTGTGGGGGGGACACTGTGGCTGTGGGGGGACACTGTGGCTGTGGGGGACACTGTGGCTGTGGGGGTCTGGGGACACTGTGGCTGTGGCTGTGGGGGTTGGACACTGTGGCTGTGGGGGGTCACTGTGGCTGTGGGGGTCTGGGGGACACTGTGGCTGTGGGGGACACTGTGGCTGTGGGGGTCTGGGACACTGTGGCTGTGGGGGTCTGGGGGGACACTGTGGCTGTGGCTGTGGGGGGTTGGACACTGTGGCTGTGGAGGTCACTGTGGCTGTGGGGGTCTGGGGGACACTGTGGCTGTGGGGGACACTGTGGCTGTGGGGGGACACTGTGGCTGTGGGGGTCTGGGGGAACACTGTGGCTGGGGGTCTTGGGGGACACTGTGGGGGACACTGTGGCTGTGGGGAGGTCTGGGGGGACACTGTGGCTGGGGGGTCTGGGACACTGTGGCTGTGGGGGACACTGTGGCTGGGGGTCTGGGGGGGGACACTGTGGCTGTGGGGGCTGGGGGGACACTGTGGCTGGGGGTCTGGGGGGACACTGTGGCTGTGGGGGCTGGGGGGACTGTGGCTGGGGGTCTGGGGGACACTGTGGCTGTGGGGGGACACTGTGGCTGTGGGGGTCTGTGGGGGACACTGTGGCTGTGGGGGGGACACTGTGGCTGTGGGGGGGACACTGTGGCTGTGGGAGGGGTCTGGGGGACATTGTGGCTGTGGGGGGTCTGGGGGAGACACTGTGGCTGTGGGAGGGGCCCCCTCTGGAGTGACATCCCGGGTTTTTTCCCCCCCCCCATCCCGAGGGGACGCCCACTGTGGTCCTGGCTCTGCTCGTGGGACCCCCAAAGCTGGTCCTGCCCCCTCCTTGTCCCCCCTTTCTGTCCCTTCTCGATCACCTCGGGATCTCCTCCGGGTTGGGATCCCATTCCAGGTGCTGTTCCGCTCCTTTTCCTGGGGTATCCCCCACCCAGGGGCTGGGCAGGTGCCCCTGGGGGGCTTCCTGGGGGGGGTTTGTGGGGTGCCAGTGACCCCATAACACAGCCTGGCACTGCCCCCCCTCCCCTGCCCCTGCTCTTCCAGGGATCCAGCTGGGATGGGTCAGTCCTGTCCCCCCCAAGGGGACAAACCTGGGAATAGGGAGCAGCCCCTGCCCAGGGCACCCCTGGGGTGGGGTCCGTGGGGTGGGGTCCGTGGGGGGACTGGGGGGTCCCCAGGGAATGCAGGACACAAGAGCCAGGCCTGTACCCAAAGGGGTTTAATGAGAACTGGAGCGGGAGCGGCGATCCCGGGGGGCTCCTGCTGGAACGGGGTGGTCCCAGCTTCGGGAGGATCCCACCCTGGCGGTCCCAGCTCCGTGAGGGTCCCACCCTGGCGGTCCCAGCTCCGTGAGGGTCCCACCCTGGTGGTCCCAGCTCCGGGAGGGTCCCACCCTGGCGGTCCCAGCTCGGGGAGGGTCCCACCCTGGCGGTCCCAGCTTGGGGAGGGTCCCACCCTGGCGGTCCCAGCTCGGGGAAAGCCCCACCCTGGTGGTCCCAGCCCTGCCCCTGCCCCCAGGGAGGTGCCGGGGCCGGAGCAGGGCCGGGATCCCCGGGGACGAGCTACGTGTAGAGCCGGACGGTGCCGTCGGCGCCCGAGGAGAACACCCAGGGCTGGCTGGGGTGGAAAAGCACGTCCAGGACCCCCAGGTCCAGGGTGAGAGCGTGGCCCTTGAGCACCTTGACGGGCACCAGCAGCGGGTTCTGCAGGAGGTCACTGTGTGGGGGGGACACACAGACGGCTCAGTGGTAACTGCGACCTCCCCGGGGTCCCCAAAGCGCCCCAAAAGCGCCCCAAAAGCGCCGTGTGCCACCCCGAGGAGCCCCTGCAGGGCCCTGCTGGAGGAGGGGGGACCCCAGCCCAGCCCCCCAAACCCCCAAGCCTCTCTGTACTTGTAGACCATGCTGGCAGACGATGACGGTGCTGTCGGAGGCGGAGGCTAAGAGCGGGTAGTGCCGGCGGAAGGCAACGTTCGCAGGGCGCGCGCGGTGGTGCCTGAGGGGATGGAGGGATGGGGGGTCTGAGTGAGGGATGGAGGGATGGGGGTGTCTGAGTGAGGGATGGAGGGATGGGGATGTCTGAGTGAGGGATGGAGGATGGGGTGTCTGTTAGGGATGAGGATGGGGGTGTCTGAGGAGGGGATGGAGGGATGGGGGTGTCTGAGTGAGGGGATGGAGGGATGGGGGGTCTGAGTGAGGGATGGAGGGATGGGGGTGTCTGAGTGAGGGGATGGAGGGGATGGGGGTGTCTGAGTGAGGATGGAGGGATGGGGTGTGTCTGAGTGAGGGATGGAGGGATGGGGTGTCTGGAGGGGATGGAGGGATGGGGGTGTCTGAGTGAGGGATGGAGGGATGGGGTGTCTGAGTGAGGGGATGGAGGGATGGGGTGTCTGGAGGAGGGGATGGAGGGATGAGGGTGTCTGAGTGAGGGATGGAGGGATGGGGGTGTCTGAGTGAGGGATGGAGGGATGGAGGTGTCTGAGTGAGGGGATGGAGGGATGGGGGTCTGAGTGAGGGATGGAGGGATGGGGGTGTCTGAGTGAGGGATGGAGGATGGGGTGTCTGAGTGAGGGATGGAGGGATGGGGTGTCTGAGAGGGATGGAGGGATGGGGTGTCTGAGTGAGGGGATGGAGGGATGGGGTGTCTGAGTGAGGGGATGGAGGGATGGGGGTGTCTGAGTGAGGGATGGAGGGATGGGGTGTCTGAGTGAGGGATGGAGGGATGGGGGTGTCTGAGTGAGGGATGGAGGGATGGGGTGGTGCCTGAGGGGATGGAGGGATGGGGGTGTCTGAGTGAGGGGATGGAGGGATGGGGGTGTCTGAGTGAGGGGATGGAGGATGGGGGTGTCTGAGTGAGGGATGGAGGATAGGGGTGTCTGAGAGTGAGGATGGGGAGTCTGGAGTGAGGATGGAGGATGAGGGTGTCTGGAGACGATGAGGATGAGGTGTCTGAGTGAGGATGGAGGGATGGGGGTGTCTGAGTGAGAGAAGCAAAGGGTCGAGTGAGGATGGAGGGATGGGGCGTCTGAGTGAGAGGGACGGAGGACGGGGTGTCTGAGTGAGGGATGGAGGGATGGGGGTGTCTGAGTGAGGGATGGAGGGATGGGGGTGTCTGAGTGAGGGGATGGAGGATGGGGGTGTCTGAGTGAGGGATGGAGGGATGGGGGTGTCTGAGTGAGGGGATGGAGGGATGGGGGTGTCTGAGTGAGGGATGGAGGGATGGGGTGTCTGAGTGAGGGATGGAGGGATGGGGTGTCTGAGTGAGGGATGGAGGGATGGGGGTGTCTGAGTGAGGGATGGAGGGATGGGGTGTCTGAGTGAGGGGATGGAGGGATGGGGGTGTCTGAGTGAGGGGATGGAGGGATGGGGTGTCTGAGAGGGAGGGGATGGAGGGATGGGGGTGATGTCTGAGGATGGAGGGATGGGGGTGTCTGAGTGAGGGGATGGAGGGATGGGATGGGGGTGTCTGAGTGAGGGATGGAGGGATGGGGGTGTCTGAGTGAGGGATGGAGAGGATGGGGGTGTCTGAGTGAGGGGATGGAGGGATGAGGGGTGTCTGAGTGAGGGGATGAAGGGATGGGGTGTCTGAGATGGAGGAGGATGAGGGTGTCTGAGTGAGGGATGGAGGGATGGGGTGTCTGAGTGAGAGGATGGAGGGATGGGGGTGTCTGAGTGGATGGATGATGAGGTGGACGATGGAGGGATGGAGTGTCTGAGTGAGGGATGGAGGATAGGGTGATGTCTGAGTGAGGGATGGAGGGGATACGAGGTGTCCTGAGAGAGATGGAGAGGATGAGGGTGTCTGAGTGAGGGATGGAGGATGGGGGTGTCTGAGTGAGATGGAGAGGATGGGGGGTGTCTGAGTGAGGGATGGAGGGATGGAGGTCTGAGTGAGGGATGGAGGGATGGGGGTGTCTGAGTGAGGGATGGAGGGATGGGAGTGTCTGAGTGAGGGATGGAGGATAGGGGGTGTCTGTGAGATGGAAGGATGGAGGGGTGTCTGAGTGAGGATGGAGGGATAGGAGGTGTCTGATGAGGGATAGAGAGATAGAGAGTGTCTGAGTAGAGGATGAGAGGATAGGAGTGATGTCTGAGTGAAGGGATGGAGGAGATAGGAGGTGTCTGAGTGAGGAATGGAGGGATGAGAGTGTCCTGAATGAGGAGATAGAGGATAGAAAGTGTCTGAATGAGGGATGGAGGGATGAGAGTGTCTGAGTGAGGGATAGAGAGGATAGAGAGTGTCTGAGTGAGGAGATGAGAGGGATAGAGGTGTCTGAGTGAGGGATGGAGGAGATGAGGGGTGTCTGAGTGAGGGATAGGAGGGATGGGGGTGTCTGGAGTGAGGATGGATGGAGATGGGGGTGTCTGAGAGATGGAGAGGATGGGGAGTGTCTGAGTGAGGGGGATAGGAGGATGGGAGGTCAGTGAGATGGAGGGATGGGAGTGTCTGAGAGTGGGAGATGGAGAGGACAGAGGTGTCTGAGAGAGGGATAGAATGTGTCTAGTGAGATGAGATAGAGGGACAAGATTGAGCTGAGGAGTGGGGGAGTGTCTGAGAGGGGATGGAGGGATGGGGGTGTCTGAGTGAGGGATGGAGGGATGGGGATGGTCTGGGAGTGGAGGGGATGGGGGTGTCTGAGAGGGGGAGATGGAGGGATGGGGTGTCCTGAGTGAGGGGATGGAGGGATGGGGGTGGCTGGGATGGAGGGATGGGGGGTGTCTGAGTGAGGGGGATGGAGGGATGGGGTGTCTGGAGTGAGGGGATGGAGGGATGGAGGGGTGTCTGAGTGAGGGGATGGAGGGATGGGGGTGTCTGAGTGAGGGATGGAGGGATGGGGTGTGTCTGAGTGAGGGATGGAGGGATGGGGGTGTCTGAGTGAGGGGATGGAGAGGATGGGGGTGTCTGAGTGAGGGATGGAGGATGGGGTGTCTGAGTGAGGGGATGGAGGGATGGGGGTGTCTGAGTGAGGGGATGGAGGGATGGGGGTGTCTGAGTGAGGGGATGGAGGATGGGGGTGTCTGAGTGAGGGATGGAGGGATGGGGGTGTCTGAGTGAGGGGATGGAGGGATGGGGTGTCTGAGTGAGGGATGGAGGATGGGGGTGTCTGAGTGAGGGATGGAGAGGATGGGAGTGGCTTGGGAGGTGGAGAAATGGGGTCCAACACGCTAGGGGATCCCACCCCAGCTCTGTGAGAGGGGAACTGGGATGCACTGGGAGCTGCTGTGGGCACTGTCCCCAGGGGAACTGGGACAAACTGGGAGCTGCTGTGGTACCTCAGAACTGCCACTGCCCCCAGGGGAACTGGGACAAACTGGGAGCTGCTGTGGGCACTGTCCCCAGGGAACTGGGATGCACTGGGAACTTCTGCAGGCACTGTCCCCAGGAGAACTGGGACAAACTGGGAGCTGCTGCGGGCACTGCCCCCAGGGGAACTGGGACACAGTGGGAGCTGCTGTGGGCACTGTCCCCAGGGGAACTGGGATACACTGGGAGCTGCTGTGGGCTCTGGAGAACTGCCACTGCCCCCAGGGGAACTGGGACAAACTGGGAACTGCTGCAGGCACTGTCCCCAGGGGAACTGGGACAAACTGGGAGCTGCTGTGGGGTCTGGAAAGCTCAGACTGTCCCCAGGGGACTGGGACAAACTGGGAACTGCTGCGGGCACTGGAGAGCTACCACTGTCCCCAGGGGAACTGGGACAAACTGGGAACTGCTGTGGGCTCTGGAAAGCTCAGACTGTCCCCAGGGGAACTGGGACAAACTGGGAACTGCTGCAGGCACTGTCCCCAGGGGAACTGGAACAAACTGGGAGCTGCTGTGGGCACTGTCCCCAGGGAAACTGGGACAAACTGGGAGCTGCTGTGGGGTCTGGAAAGCTCAGATTGTCTCCCAGGGGAACTGGGATCAACTGGGAACTGCTGTAGGCACTGTCCCCAGGGGAACTGGGACAAACTGGGAGCTGCTGTGGGCACTGCCCCCAGGGAACTGGGACAAACTGGGAACTGCTCTGGGCACTGTCCCCAGGGAACTGGGACAAACTGGGAACTGCTGCAGGCACTGCCCCCAGGAGAACTGGAACAAACTGGGAGCTGCTGTAGGCATGTCCCCAGGGGAACTGGGACAAACTGGGAGCTGCTGTGGGCACTGTCCCCAGGGGAACTGGGACAAACTGGGAACTGCTATAGGCACTGTCCCCAGGGAACTGGGACAAACTGGGAGCTGCTGTGGGCTCTGGAAAGCTCAGACTGTCCCCAGTGGAACTGGGACACACTGGGAACTGCTGTGGGCACTGCCCCCAGGGGAACTGGGACAAACTGGGAACTACTGTGGGCACTGCCCCCAGGGGAACTGGGACAAACTGGGAACTGCTGTGGGCACTGGAGAACTACCACTGTCCCCAGGGAACTGGGATAAACTGGGAGCTGCTGTGGGCACTGTCCCCAGGAGAACTGGGACAAACTGGGAGCTGCTGCGGGCACTGTCCCCAGGAGAACTGGGACAAACTGGGAACTACTGTGAGCACTGTCCCCAGGGGAACTGGGACAAACTGGGAACTACTGTGAGCACTGTCCCCAGGGGAACTGGGACAAACTGGGAACTACTGTGAGCACTGCCCCCAGGGGAACTGGGACAAACTGGGAACTACTGTGAGCACTGTCCCCAGGGGAACTGGGACAAACTGGGAGCTGCTGTGGGCAATGGAGAGCTGAGACTGCCCCCAGGGAACTGGGACAAACTGGGAACTACTGTGGGCACTGCCCCCAGGGAAACTGGGATGCACTGGGAGCTGCTGTGGGCACTGTCCCCAGGGGAACTGGGACAAACTGGGAGCTGCTATAGGCACTGCTCCCAGGAGAACTGGGACAAACTGGGAGCTGCTGTGGGGTCTGGAAAGCTCAGACTGTCCCCAGGGAACTGGGACAAACTGGGAGCTGCTGTGGGCTCTGTCCCCAGGGAACTGGGACAAACTGGGAGCTGCTGTGGGCTCTGGAAAGCTCAGACTGCCCCCAGGGGAACTGGGATAAACTGGGAGCTGCTGTGGGCACTGCCCCCAGGGGAACTGGGACAAACTGGGAACTGCTGCAGGCACTGCCCCCAGGAGAACTGGGACAAACTGGGAACTGCTGTGAGCACTGTCCCCAGGGAACTGGAACAAACTGGGAACTGCTGCGGGCACTGCCCCCAGGGAACTGGAACAAACTGGGAGCTGCTGCAGGCACTTTCCCCAGGGGAACTGGGACAAACTGGGAGTTGCTGTGGGCACTGTCCCCAGGGAACTGGGACAAACTGGGAGCTGCTGTGGGCTCTGGAAAGCTCAGACTGTCCCCAGGGGAACTGGGACAAACTGGGAACTGCTCTGGGCACTCGTCCCCAGGGAACTGGGACAAACTGGGAGCTGCTGTGGGCACTGCCCCAGGGAACTGGGACAAACTGGGAACTGCTGCAGGCACTGTCCCCAGGGGAAACTGGGACAAACTGGGAGCTGCTGTGGGGTCTGGAAAGCTCAGATTGTCTCCCAGGGGAACTGGGATAAACTGGGAACTGCTATAGGCACTGCCCCCAGGGGAACTGGGATAAACTGGGAACTGCTGTGGGCTCTGGAAAGCTCAGACTGTCCCCAGGGGAACTGGGACAAACTGGGAACTGCTGTGGGCACTGTCCCCAGGGAACTGGGACAAACTGGGAGCTGCTGTGGGCACTGCCCCCAGGGGAACTGGGACAAACTGGGAGCTGCTGTGGGGTCTGTCCCCAGGGGAAGTGGAACAAACTGGGAGCTGCTGTGGGGTCTGCCCCCAGGGAACTGGGACAAACTGGGAACTGCTGCAGGCACTGCCCCCAGGGGAACTGGGACAAACTGGGAACTGCTGTAGGCACTGTCCCCAGGGAACTGGGACAAACTGGGAGCTGCTGTGGGCACTGCCCCCAGGGGAACTGGGACAAACTGGGAACTGCCGCAGGCACTGCCCCCAGGGAACTGGGACAAACTGGGAGCTGCTGCAGGCACTGCCCCCAGGGGAACTGGGACAAACTGGGATCTACCACGGGCACTGCCCCCAGGAGAACTGGAACAAACTGGGAACTGCAGTGGGCACTGGAAAGCTCAGACTGTCCCCAGGGGAACTGGGACAAACTGGGAACTGCTGTGGGCACTGCTCCCAGGGAACTGGGACAAACTGGGAGCTGCTGTGGGCACTGTCCCCAGGGGAACTGGGACAAACTGGGAACTGCTGTGGGCTCTGGAAAGCTCAGACTGTCCCCAGGGGAACTGGGACAAACTGGGAGCTGCTGTGGGCACTGCCCCCAGGGGAACTGGGACAAACTGGGAGCTGCTGTGGGGTCTGGAAAGCTCAGACTGTCCCCAGGGAATTGGGACAAACTGGGACCTGTTTTGGGCTCTGGAAAGCTGCCACTGCTCCCAGGGGAACTGGAACAAACTGGGAACTGCTGTGGTCCCTCAGAGCTGCCACTGTCCCCAGGGAACTGGGACAAACTGGGAGCTGCTGTGGACTCTGGAAAGCTCAGATTGTCTCCCAGGGGAACTGGGACAAACTGGGAGCTACTGTGGGCATTGTCCCCAGGGAAACTGGGACAAACTGGAAGCTACTGTGGTCCCTCAGAGCTGCCACTGTCCCCAGGGGAACTGGGATACACTGGGAACTGCTCTGGGCACTGTCCCCAGGGAACTGGGACAAACTGGGAGCTGCTGTGGGCACTGTCCCCAGGGGAACTGGGACAAACTGGGAGCTGCTGTGAGCACTGCCCCCAGGGAACTGGGACAAACTGGGAGCTGCTGTGGGCACTGTCCCCAGGGAAACTGGGATGCACTGGGAACTTCTGCAGGCACTGCCCCCAGGAGAACTGGGACAAACTGGGAACTGCTGTGGGCACTGCCCCCAGGGAAACTGGAACAAACTGGGAACTGCTGTAGGCACTGTCCCCAGGGGAACTGGAACAAACTGGGAGCTGCTGTGAGCACTGCCCCCAGGGGAACTGGGACAAACTGGGAGCTGCTGTGACCACTGCCCCCAGGGGAACTGGGACAAATTGGGAGCTGTTGTGGACTCTGTCCCCAGGGGAACTGGAACAAACTGGGAACTGCTGTGGGCACTGCCCCCAGGGGACTGGCACAAACTGGGAGCTGCTGTGAGCACTGCCCCCAGGGAAACTGGGATGCACTGGGAACTTCTGCAGGCACTGCCCCCAGGAGAACTGGGACAAACTGGGAACTGCTGTGGGCACTGCCCCCAGGGAAACTGGAACAAACTGGGAACTGCTCCAGGCACTGTCCGCAGGGAAACTGGAAGAAACTGGGAACTGCTGTGGGCACTGCTCCCAGGGAAACTGGGATGCACTGGGAGCTACTGTGGGCACTGGAGAGCTGCCACCGTCCCCAGGGAACTGGGACAAACTGGGAGCTACTGTGGTCCCTCAGAGCTGCCACTGTCCCCAGGGGAACTGGGATGCACTGGGACCCACTGTGGGCTCTGCAGAGCTGCCACTGTCCCCAGGGAACTGGGATGCACTGGGAGCTGCTGTGGGCACTGCCCCCAGGGGAACTGGGAGAAACTGGGAGCTGCTGTGGGCTCTGGAAAGCTCAGACTGTCCCCAGGGGAACTGGGACAAACTGGGAACTGCTGTGGGCACTGTCCCCAGGGAACTGGGATACACTGGGAGCTGCTGTGGGCACTGGAGAGCTCAGACTATCCCCAGGGGAACTGGGACAAACTGGGAACTGCTGTGGGCTCTGGAGAGCTACCACTGTCCCCAGGGGAACTGGGACAAACTGGGAGCTGCTGTGGTCCCTCAGAACTGCCACTGTCCCCAGGGAAACTGGGATGCACTGGGAGCTGCTGTGGGCTCTGGAAAGCTCAGACTGCCCCCAGGGGAACTGGGACAAACTGGGAGCTGCTGTGGGCACTGTCCCCAGGGGAACTGGGACAAACTGGGAGCTGCTGTGGGCACTGTCCAGAGGAACTGGGACAAACTGGGAGCTGCTGTGGGCACTGCCCCCAGGGGAACTGGGACAAACTGGGACCTGTTTTGGGCTCTGGAAAGCTCAGACTGTCCCCAGGGAACTGGGATGCACTGGGAGCTGCTGTGGGCACTGTCCCCAGGGAACTGGGATGCACTGGGAGCTGCTGTGGGTACTGTCCCCAGGGAACTGGGACAAACTGGGAGCTACTGTGGGTACTGTCCCCAGGGAACTGGGACAAACTGGGAGCTACTGTGGGTACTGTCCCCAGGGAACTGGGACAAACTGGGAACTGCTCCAGGCACTGCTCCCAGGGGAACTGGGACAAACTGGGAGCTGCTGTGGGCACTGCCCCCAGGGAACTGGGACAAACTGGGAACTGCTGCAGGCACTGTCCCCAGGGGAACTGGGACAAACTGGGAGCTGTTGTGGGCTCTGGGAAGCTCAGACTATCCCCAGGGCAACTGGAACAAACTGGGAGCTACCACGGGCACTGCCCACGGCCCCCCTGAGCCCCCCTCCCGGGGCTTGGCCCCGGGAGGGGGGCTCAGGGGGTTCGTGGGCAGTGGAGGGATCATTTTTAGGGATCATTTTTAGGGATCATTTTTAGGGACCATTTTTAGGGATCGTTTTTAGGGATCATTTTTAGGGATCATTTTTAGGGATCGTTTTTAGGGATCGTTTTTAGGGATCGTTTTTAGGGATCATTTTTAGGGATCATTTTTAGGGATCATTTTTAGGGATCGTTTTTAGGGATCGTTTTTAGGGATCATTTTTAGGGATCGTTTTTAGGGATCGTTTTTAGGGATCGTTTTTAGGGATCGTTTTTAGGGATCATTTTTAGGGTCTGTTCTGCTCTCACCGGAGCATTTGGTAGGGTCTGGTGGACAGGTCGAGGTCGAACCAGACCAGTTTGCTGTCGTAGCTCCCGCAGATCACGTTGTCACCTGCACCAGGAACAAACAGGGGGGGTGTTTATGTTGGAAAAGACCCCCAGGATGGGAATTCCCGGAATATTTAGGCTGGAAAAGACCCCCAGGATCGGAATTCTGGAATATTCGGGCCAGAAAAGACCCCCGGGATGGGAATTCCTGGAATATTTATGTTGGAAAAGCCCCCCAGGATCGGAATTCCCGGAATATTTATGTTGGAAAAGACCCCCAGGATCGGAATTCTGGAATATTCGGGCCAGAAAAGACCCCCGGGATGGGAATTCCCAGAATATTTAGGCTGGAAAAGACCCCCAGGATCGGAATTCTGGAATATTCAGGCCAGAAAAGACCCCCGGGATGGGAATTCCCAGAATATTTATGCTGGAAAAGACTCCTGGGATCGGAATTCTGGAATATTTGGGCCAGAAAAGACCCCAGGATCGGAATTCCCGGAATATTTAGGCCGGAAAAGACCCCCGGGATTGGAATTCTGGAATATTTATGTTGGAAAAGACCCCCAGGATTGGAATTCTGGAATATTTATGTCAGAAAAGACCCCCAGGATCGGAATTCCCAGAATATTTAGGCTGGAAAAGACCCCCAGGATCGGAATTCTAGGAAATATTCTATACTGGAAAAGACCCCGGACGGAATTCCAGATATTATGCTGAAAAGACCCCAGGATCGGAATTCCCGGAATATTTAGGCTGGAAAAGACCCCCTGGGATCGGAATTCTGGAATATTTATGTTGGAAAAGACCCCCGGGATCGGAATTCTTGAATATTCGGGCCAGAAAAGACCCCCAGGATGGGAATTCTGGAATATTTATGTCAGAGAAGACCCCCTGGGATTGGAATTCTGGAATATTCGGGCCAGAAAAGACCCCCAGGATGGGAATTCTGGAATATTTATGTCAGAAAAGACCCCCTGGGATCAGAATTCCCAGAGTATTTATGTTGGAAAAGACCCCCGGGATCGGAATTCTGGAATATTCGGGCCAGAAAAGACCCCCAGGATCGGAATTCTGGAATATTTATGTTGGAAAAGACCCTCAGGATGGGAATTCCTGGAATATTCAGGCCAGAAAAGACCCCCAGGATGGGAATTCCCAGAATATTTATGTTGGAAAAGACCCCCAGGATTGGAATTCTGGAATATTTATGTCAGAAAAGACCTCCTGGGATTGGAATTCTGGAATATTCAGGATGGAAAAGACCCCCGGGATGGGAATTCTCAGAATATTTATGTTGGAAAAGACCCCCAGGATTGGAA